TACTGAAGTATAATTTACATACAGTAACATGCACCCATTTTGCCTTGGCCATTGTAACTCAGTTGGTTGAGCAATGCCCTGTGCATGGAAGGTTACTGGTTTTATTCCAGATCAGGGCACAAACCCAGGTTGTGGATTCCATCCCCGGTTGAGGTGCACATAGGAAGAAACTGATTGATGTTGCTCTCTCACATCAATGGTTCTCTCTTCCTCTCTCTAAAATCAATAAAAAAATATTTTTAAATGCACCCATTTTATGTACATTTCAATGCATTTGGACAAATCAATATATTTGAGTAATAACCATCACAACAATCAACATACAGAACAAGTCTATAAATGGCCTTGGAAATAATGCCATTGTGCATTGTGTCAAGAATTCTTCACTGCCGAAACCGGTTTGGCTCAGTGGATAGTGTCGGTCTGCGGACTGAAGGGTCCCGGGTTCGATTTTGGTCGTGGGCATGTACATTGGTTGCAGGCACATCCCTGGTATGGGGTATGCAGGAGGCAGCTGGTCGATGTCTCTCTCATCGGTGTGTCTAGCTATCTTTCTCCTCTCTTTACCTCTCTGTGAAAAATCAATAAAATATATTTAAAAAAAGAAAAAGAAAAAAAAAAGAATTCTTCACATAGTCTAATAACTAGGCATGGTGCTGGATGGGTGTGAGATTTATTGGGGTGTATTTTAGTTAAAAAAAAAAAAAAGAATCATTCTCAACTAAAGTCATAACAATGTTCCAAATTATTTAGTAAAGCAAAATTCACATTTTAAATAAAGTAACTTGCCTTTAAAAAAAACAAAACAGTTTTAATTCTTCTATATCCTTGCCAACACATTATTTATTTATTTGTTTAAAGTATTACATGTCTCCTTTTTCCCCTGATTAACACCCCTCCACCACCTCCACCCCCAAGGGCAAGCCCCCATCACCCCAGTGTGTATCCACTGGTCATGCTAATATGCATGCATACAAGTCGTTTGTTGATTTGTTGATGACAGCCATTCTGACAGGTGTAAGATGGTACCTCATTGTTGTTTTGATTTGCTTCTCTTGGATGATTAGTGACTTTGAGAATGTTTTTTATAAGTCTCTAGGCCTTCTGTATGTCCTCTTTCGAAAAGTGTCTACTTTAGTCCTTTGCCCATCTTTTGATTGGAGTGTTTATCTTCCTTTTGTTAAGTAGTATGAGTTCCCTGTAAATTTTGCAGACTAAACCCTTATCTGAAACTAGAGGCCCAATGCACTACATTCGTGCACTGGAGGTGGGATCCCTCAGCCCAGACTGTGGCCTCGCAGTCTGGGACCACCGAGGAATCCTTAGCGCTACCCCAGAGGTGGGAGAGGTTCCCTCCACTTCTGCTGTGCTTGCCAGCTGGGAGACCGGCTTCTGGCTGAGCACTGATCACCAGGAGGCAGCTCCTGAGTTGAGCTTCTGCCCCCTGGTGGTCAGTGTGTTATAGTAATTGATTATTCCACTGATCGCTCAATTTGCATAGTAGCCTTTTGTTATATAGGATAGGATTGGCAAAGATGTTCTCCCATGCAGTGGGCTTTCTTGTTGTTTTGTTGGTTTCTTTTGGTGTGCAGAAGCTTTTTACTTTGCTGTAGTCCTATTTGTTTATTTCTCCTTAGTTTCCATTGGTCTAGGAGCTGTATCAGTAGATATTGCTACGACGCATGTCTGATATCGTGCTGCCTATGGAGTCTTCTAAGATTTTTATGGTTTCCTGTCTTACATTTAAGTCCTTTAACCATTTTGAGTTTGTTTTTGTGTATGGTGTAAGTTGGTGACCTAGTTTCATTTTTTTGCATGTATCTGACCAAATTTTCCAACACCATTTATTGAAGAGATACTTGACTCCATTGTGTGCGTTTGCCTCCTTTGTCAAATATTAATTGAACATAATGGGCTTGGGTCTATTTCTGGGTTCTCTGTTCTGTTCCATTGATCTGTATGTCTGTTCTTGTGCCAGTACCAGGCAGTTTTGAAAACCTTGGCTTTTTATTTTTATTTTTTAAAATATATTTTATTGATTTTTTACAGAGAGGAAGAGAGAGGAATAGAGAGTTAGAAACATCGATGAGAGAAAATCATCGATCAGCTGCCTCTTGCACACCACCTACTGGGGATGTGCCCACAACCAAGGTACATGCCCTTGACCGGAATTGAACCCAGGACCCTTCAGTCCGTTGGCCGACGTTCTATCCACTGAGCCAAACCGGTTTTTGGCAAACCCTGGCTTTTTAATATAGCTTGATATCTGGTCTTGTGATATATATTTTGGTTTCAGAGAGAAAGGTAGAGATAGAAACATCAATGATGAAAATCATTGATTAGTTGACACCTGCACACCTATTGGGGATCAAGCCCACAACCCCAGACATGTGCCCTTGACTGAATTTCAACCTGGGACCCTTCAGTTCACAGGCTAATGCTCTATCCACTGAGCCAAGCCAGCCAGGGCATATTTGTTCTTAATAGTAGCTATTTTAAATAGGTGTGAGGTGGCATTTCATTGTGGTTTTGATTTGCATTTCCCTAATGACCAGTGATGTTGAGCATCTTTTTATGTGCTTGTTGGCCATTTGCATATTTTCTGTGGAGAACTATCTACTTAAGTCCTTTGCCCATTTTTAAACCTACACCTTTCTTTTAAGTGCTCATGGCATTTCATAGTATAGACCTAACATAGTTAGGACCCTTTTATGAACATTGTATACTTTTCAGTTTTTCTCTGATATAAAGTGGTATACTAAACATCCTTCAATATAATTCCTTGTACATTTGTGGATATTTCTCTACACATTTATAACACACCGATCATGTATTTTATGGGAAATCACCTGTGTGATACTTAAATAACAAGAACAACAACAAAAATAGAATTAGGCTCACAGGATAACTGCAATTTTTATTTTAATCAATCCTGCTAAATTGCTATCTTAAAATGATTATATCTATTTGTACTCTTGTAAGTACTCCATGACTACCCATTTCTTCACTTGTTATATATATGAAAATTTTCTAGCCAGTCACTTGTCTTAATATTTGAGGGAGTTACTTTGCATAGAAATCTATCATTTTAATATATTCACACTTATTAATAAAGTTTAGATCTTTGATCCACTTGAAATGTATTCTCATGAAGAATATAAAGTAGAAATCTAAAGTGTTTTTCAAGAGATAGCCAACTTGCCATTGTAATAATATTACTGACATTTATTGAATAATTCTTACTTGTGCCAGGTACTGTTCAATCTAATCCCATCTTATTTGGATTGTTTTGTGGATTAAACAAAATATTCTCCCCCCACCCCCCAAACATTAAAAAAATGTTCTTATTGATTTTAGAGAAAAAGGGGGAGGAAAACATGGATGAGAAATGTCCATCAGTTGCCTCCCGCATGCTCCCTATTAGTGATTCAGCTTGCAACCCGGGCAGGTGCCATGACCCGGAATTGACCCTCTGATCTCTCCATGTATGAGATGACACTCTACCAACTGAGCCACACTGGCCAGGACTCAAAACATTTAAGAGGTTGCAAGAAAGGCACCAAATGTTTATGTAGATTGCTCAACTAATACAGGTATTAATTGATAAATAAAGATTCTAACCCTAGTAGAATGATTCCACACTATTTGGCCTCCTAATACAATATCCTTTTTCTAGACTTGAAGTACAAACTTGACAATATACCAAATTGTCATAAATATATAGGAATTTATGGACTTTTTATTGTTTCAGAGATCTATTTGTCTGTTCCTACACTACCTTGTGATCATTTAAAATATCTATTCTGCCCTGACTGGTGTAGCTCAATTGGTTGAGCATCGAACCAAAAGGTCACTGGTTGGATTCCAGTCAGGGCACATGCCCAAGCTGCGGATTCGATCCCTGATCAGGGTGAGTACTGGAGGAAACAGATCACTTTCTCTCTCACACGGATGTTTCTCTCTCTCCCTTTTCTCTCTGAAATCAATAAAATATATTTAAAAAATAAAGCATCTATTCTGATTATGTTATGTATTTATCCCATTTAAATTTTTAAATATGCCCTACTGGCCTCAAGATCAAGTCAAAACTCTCTAGCATAGGGGTGTCGAACTCAATCAGAGAAGGGGCCAAAATCTAAAATCCAGCCTAAATCGCGGGCCAAATGGTTTACTGAACAGTCATAAACTGTCATTGTGATGGAAACGCAGCGGAGTGCAGTGATGACAGCACGGTGCGGGCCACATTGCAAGGCCTGGCGGGACGGATTTGGCCCTCGGGCCTTGTGTTTGACACATGTGCTCTAGCAAGTCACATGAGGCCCCGCTCCCTCCCACCTCGTACCTCTAGTCCCAGATGTGGTACAGATAACTTACCCCTATGTTCTAGTTATAAGAATCGCCTGGCAGCTATCTGAACAGGTGAAACACATTCATTCCATGTAATATCTATCTCCATGCTTTTGTTTGTTTCCTGCACCTAATTTTCTTTACCTCATTAGGCAAGCACCTATTTATTTTTAAAGATTAACTCAAACATTACTACCTCTAGCCTTTCCTCCCTCCCTTTTCCAACTAAGTAGAAAGAAATCCTTCTTTCCTCTTTTGTGTCTAGTTGTCATACTTTTATCCTAGCATCATTATTTTACTGTAGTTATTCATCTACATGTTTCCCTTTCCCAACATAATAAGAGTGTCTTGGGGGTAAGACCATATCTTATTAAGTATGGAGTAAGTATTGTTGAGTAAATAATATAAAACAACCACTGACGTTGTGAGCAGTCATGATTTATAAAAATATGTAACAAAATTTTAAATGACACAAAATATCATTTCCAAAACATCAGTATCATTTTCAAAACACCACCAAAAACTGAGTATATTTAACTGTTCTCAGTTCATAACAGCAAACGTGTGAGTGGAGCAATAACGCATGTTGTATCATGTTTAATAAAAATCTTCAACAGAGAAAGTTGTTTGAAGGAAAGCAGAGAAACTTTGTCTTTAAGTATTAGAACCGAGGGGCTCCATAATCATCTGGCATCCGCTCAATGTTGTACCTAATCAGAAAAAAATAAATAAATAAAATAACACTGGTAAGAAGGGTGGGTCCAATAGCCACCTAAAAACCCATACTCTTATCCCCTCACGACTGCAATACTCTCACCCCCTCATTGTGAATCCTTTTTGTCAGTTGGAACATTTTAAAGGGAAATCATAGTGAGTGATTTGAAGCAAAATGCTGACTATATTTTCTTTATTCTTCAAAGTCAGAAAGTTACCAATGTGAGAGCTGGGCACTGAGTCCAGGTAAGCACAACTCCCTAGCCCATTTTATTCCCTCTATATTGTGCTCTCTGCAGGCTGAGAGGCTGGGCAGTAATAGTCGGACGACTGACATGGGAACATCCAAGAAGGATAAAGGGCAGCTTTAAAATAAAAATAAAAAATAAAAAATAGGCATTTAGTTTCCCAGAGGGGTGCTAATCACATACAGTTGGCTTTTAAAATAAAAATTTCTGGAAAAAAGATTAGCGTGATTTAAATTACTGCTTTGCATTTAAGGCAACATGTCATTCTATTTCTCTGTTTATCATATTGTAACAATGTGAATGTCTGCCTCATTTCTAAATCTTATCTTTTGCCCTTTTTCTTGTTATTTTGTCTTACATTTTCAAATGCAACTTTGTACTAGTAAGTATTTGATACAACAATCTCTTTTAAATTCTTCTATAATCTGACCTCATTTTTAATTGACATCAACTATATGCTTTTAATCACTTTCCCATGAGTAAGTCCTCACCTGTGGTTAGAAATGTACATGATGGGAACTCCAGGGATCTTCCTGATTCTTCGTTTAAGGTCCCTGTCAACTGTGGCCACAATATAACACTTGTGCTATAAGAGAAACACATAGAGTTTATTGAGTCTACTTAGTGATACTATAATGGCACAACCACTGCTGGAGTCTGAAGAATTAATTCATTTTCACAGTACATAGCAAAGGTTACAACAATTTGTTGAGGAGATACTATGATTAAGGAGCTCATGTTTGTTTGTTTATTTATTTATTTAAAAATATATTTTATTGATAATTTACAGAGAGGAAGGGAGAGACATAGAGAGCTAGAAATGTCAATGAGAGAGAAACATCAACCAGCTGCCTCCTGCACACCCCCTACTGGGGATGTGCCCACAACCAAGGTACATGCCCTTGACCGGAATCGAACTCCGGACCTTTCAGTCCACAGACCGACGCTCTACCACTGAGCCAAACCGGTTTCGGCTAAGGAGGTCATGTTTAAAAACATATTAATAAGTTGCCCAGGGCTGAATATAACTCTGAGAACCTTGAGGGGGAGAAGACAGAAAAGATAAAAGCTGCAATCCATTTTTTTGGGGTCATAAGTGGAAATTATTTTTACACCTGGGGTAGAAAATTCCTTGATTTTGGGAAAATGCCCCAAGGGACTCTATGCAAAGGCAGAATAAGTGCCTTAGATTGGAGGGCACGGCTTCTGCCTTTCCCAGGATTGTAAGGCCTACTCTGAGGCCTTCTAGTGGTGGAGGTAGGCTACCCTCTTGCTCCGGAAGCCAGACTAGGATCTCCAGGACAAGTCTAAGCCTAGCAACTCTGAAAGCAATATGTAATTGCCATCTGGGAGGTAATTTATGTTGCACTTTACTTCCATCATATCCAAACCTCCCACTGAGTTTTATAAAGAGTTGGAGCCTGATGTCAGCTGAGCTGTGGGAAATTAAGGGAAATGCTGGACACGTCGTGAATGGAGTTGCTAAGGGGCTGGCAATGTGGTCATCCAATGAAGAGGATTACCCTCAGCCTAGAGAGGCTCTTATAAGGGCAAACAGTAACAGAAGTTCTTGTGGTGCCTGCCGAGAAACAAAAAACCAACTGATTCTCGGGTCCTTGTGAGAGAGAACCCTGTGAGACTTAGATGCAACTGAGAAATGCTTCTGGGTTGGACATGGTACAGAGGAACAAAATTCTTTCGTGAGGAATAAGTGGAATGGAACCTTATTTTAGATTCCCATAGAGGTGAAATCTGGTATAAGCTGACCCTTGAAAAGCATGGGTTTCAACTGCTTGGGTCCACTTATATGTGGATTTTTTTCAATAAATACCTGTATTGTTTTTTCTCTGCAGTTAGGAGTCTCTCTCTCTCTCTCTCTCTCTCTCTCTCTCTCTCTCTCTCTCTCTCTCTCTCTCTGGTAGCAGCAGTTCTCGGGTGATGCACCCCGGAACCAGTGAGGAGGGAGCCTGATCCCCAGGATGAGTCACCGGAGAACCACCCTCTCTCAATTTGGAACCTCTCCGGGGATGTCGGAGAACTGGTTTCAACCGATCCCTGCAGGCCAGACTGAGGGACCCCACCTGCCGGAGGAACCCCGCTCACTGCGCAGATCCCCTTCAAGCCATGGCACTGCCCCAAGTGCAGCCAGCTGGGAAGGGACCATGGGAGGTTGGTTCCAGGGCATGCCTGACCCATCTTGCCCAGTCCCGCCCCACAGGACACCTTCTAATTAATTTCCTTTCACTGTGCACAAATCCATGCACCAGGGCACTAGTTTTATATAAGAGTCTTGAACATTATAGATTTTGGTCCTGGAACCCAATCCCCCATGGATAATAACGGACAACTTAAGTTTTTGGGAGTCAAAAGTTAGACAACAACACAGATTTTCAACTGCACAGGGGGTCAAACCCCTAACCCTGGCGCTATTCAAAGGCTAAGTGTATTATCTATACTTACTCGCTTGAATCATTTTATAGAAAAGATTTATGGAATAAAGAATCAGTAAGTATCCCAAATCACATATCTAATATAATAAATGCAGGTACTAATATTTGAAACCCATGATCTTTCCATTATGTTATGGTATACATTTCTAATTCACTTCCTCAAGTAAATAAAGGCACCTCTGATTGCTATGAAGGGATTCTCAATCTCTCTCTCCCTCTCCCTCCCCCCCCCCTCTCTCTATATATACATATCCTATATAATAAAGAGGTAATATGCAAATGTTGTTACAGCCGAAACCGGTTTGGCTCAGTGGATAAAGCGTCGGCCTGTGGACTGAAAGGTCCCAGGTTCGATTCCGGTCAAGGGCATGTACCTTGGTTGCGGGCACATCCCCAGTGGGGGGTGTGCAAGAGGCAGCTGATCGATGATTCTCTCTCATCAACGTTTCTAACTCTCTATCCCTCTCAATTCCTCTCTGTGTAAAATCAATAAAATATATATTTTTTAAAATGGTAGTTACACTTTGACACATAACAACCAACAGAGAGCTATAGGAGGGTGGGGCAGCAAGCTATGAGTGGCGGAGAGCTACAGGAGGGCGGGGCGGCCAGCAGAGACACGTGGCAACTCGCGCACAGATTCCTGCGCAGGGCTACTAGTATATATGCATACACACACACGCATACACACGCATACACACACGCATACACACACACACACACACACGTATGTATATTACATTACCATTTATATTCCCAGCTACTTTTCTGACCATGAACATTCAGGAGACAATAGTTTGCCTTCTTTCTTTTTGTTTTAAGCACATTAAGCATTTAAAAACTGACGATACCTGAGTTACTCTCTGTACTAAGCAGTCATCTGCATAGGTTCCTTTGTGTGTGCACGGTAATCGTTCAAATCTTGGATCCTTGGCGATCCTAAAAGGTTATAAAAGTGGGTTAAGGAAAACATTCTGGCAACTGGATAACTTTCTTTTTCTTTTCTTTCCTCTTCTTTTCTTTTCTTTTCTTTCTTTTCTTTCTTTCTTTTTTTTAAAATATATTTTATTGATTTTTACAGAGAGGAAGGGAGAGACATAGTTAGAAACATCGATGAGAGAGAATCATCGACCAGCTGCCTCCTGCACACCCCAGGGATGTACATGGCCTTGACCAGAATCGAACCTGGGACCCTTCAGTCTGCAGGCAGACACTTTATCCATTGAGCCAAACTGGTTTTGGCTGAAGCTTACTTTTTAATTGGAAAGACAACTTTTAGAAAAAAGGAAATTAAAATTTCCTGACAGCTGGTGTGTTTTAGGTCATATAATCTTTATAAAACTCTGAATTATTATATTTCCTTTTTACAGATGAGGTAGCAGATTGAGATGAATTGATTTGTTTAAAGTATCTAAGCTGGGAAAGCCAGGATTCAAAACAAAATCAATTTTAACCCAACCAATTCAATTCTAGGAAACTGTCTTAGACATTGTACAAGAATGTAGGAACAAGGATAGCCACCACAGAATAGTTTATAAACATAGTTTAAAATTGGAGGTCAAAAACAAAAACTGAAACAAAACCTGGAGATAATCACCCGGTCGGTGTGGCTCAGTGGTTGAGCATTGACCCATGAATTAGGAGGTCATGGTTGATTTCCGGTCAGGGCACAGGCCCAGGTTTTGGTCTTGATCCCCATTAGGGGGTGTACAAAAGGCAACCAATCAATGATTCTCTCTCATCATTGATGTTTCCAACTCTCCCTCTTCCTTCCTCTGAAATCAATAAAAGCATATTAAAAAAAAAAAAACACCTTGAGATAATCTGAATATCCATCAAGTTAAATACATTTGGATACCCTTATCTTATTTCTTATTTATTTTTTTCCTTATCTTATTTTTTAAAAAATGAGGTAGACTTGTATATGTCAATGTGGAAGGACCTATAATAGCCTGTTTAATAAACAAACAGGCTATTGAACTATTTATCATTCAATTAAGAAAATACAAATCTTTTTTCTCTAGATTTGCATTTGCCTGGAAAATACATATTGACTATATACCAATCTTTCTCAGTTGTCAATTCCAGGGGAGGAGAATGGACAAAGTGTGAATATGGAAGGGGACTTTTACTTTTTATTATACAGGGTGTGGCAAAAGGTTTAGTTATTCATATGGAAAATACTATAATAATCAATAAAAATAATATAAGAATAAACTGTTTTGTGTACCCACAACTGTAAACCTATTTTTGCCCCACCCCATATGTATTTGTTTATATTGTTTGCTATTAGAAAATCAATCACATATTTTTATACAAATGTGAAATAGAAAAGCCCAAGTCTGTGATCCTCAGAGCCATACTCTTATTACATTATGATGATGATGACTAAAAATACAAGGCAGCACACAGGTACCAAGTGCAACAAAAATACTCCACATTGCAGAGTTCAGAGCTAAGTCAATGTGGGTTGGGTATATTTAAGAAAAAAATTACATGGAAATAAAAACAAAATGAAGATGAAAGAATGTTCCAAGCACAGTTAAGGCAGGCACATACCAAAGAGGGAGCCAAAACATCCGTGACATGGTTTGGGTGTGTTCAGGGAAGAGTGAGAAGAGATAGGACTGAAAGGCAAACTGAGGGCAAACTGGGAAGAGTCTCCAGTGCCGGGCTGAGGAGTGAGCTCTAGGACACAGTGATGGGGGGTCATGGAAGTTTTCTCCAGGACAGAGACAGAGTAACACAAGCAGAGCTTTGTCTTAGAAAGACCAAGTGGGCGGTGGAGAAGAGGACATACTAGAAGAAAGGAAGACTGGATACTGAGAAACGAGGTAGGCGATAGTCTAGGCCTTTGCTCTTATTTGTTATCCCTTTTCTGCTGAAATCACTGATCTCCTTCCCATTGTTCTTTCCTGGAAATATACCAACATGCTCTATATTTTAGCCATTTTAAAAAAGAAAAAAAAAATTCCTTCTTTTTATTAATATCAGCCCTTCTAGTTAACATCCCATTTCTCTGCTTCTCTTCGCAGCCAAACTTGGTGCCTCCATTTGCTGCTTCAGTGTTCTCCCTTCCCACTGTTTATTTTAAATTACTTTTTAAATATCTGCCTCTTTTCTCATTTTTATTTGAAATATTTCAAGTAGGGGGTGTGCAGGACGCAGCTGATTGATGTTTCTCTCTCATCGATGTTAAAATTACATATTTAAGTACGTGTAAACAATATAGCTTGCATGTTTTTAGTTTTTTAAAAAAATTTTATTGATTGATTTGAGAGAGAGGAAGAGAGTAAGATAGAAATAGAGACAGATAGATTGAAAGATAGAAACATCAAATTCTCGTTCCACTTATTTATGAATTCATTGGTTGATTTTTGTATGTTCCTTGATCAGGGATTAAACTTACATCCTTGGTGTTCAGGACAACACTAACCAACTGAGCTCCCAGGCCAGGGCCTAGTTTGCATGTTTTTAAACTTCAGATAAACAATATGTTCTACATATGTGCTTGCTTTTTTTTTTTTTTTTTTAACATTGTTTTGAGAGACATCCATATTGATATGCAACTCTACTTCATTCATTTTCACTGTATAGTATTTTATTCATGAACATTCCACAATTTATTCATTATCTTAATGGATCTTTTAGCTGCTTGCAGTTTTTTGCTACTATACATGAGAAAATTCCAATACTTATCTCGAATACATGTAAATGAGCTTCTCAAAGACAGCCCCTCCCTTTTTTTTTTAACAGTATGAAATACATTTTACCTAGCACTCAATATAAAAGTGAAAAAAGTCTGTGATATAATACTCAATCTTTCCTACATGCAATGTATAGTTTATTCTATACTTCATTTAAAAAAATACTAGTTGTGACCCATTAAATAGACTTTACAACCTATAGATTTGTGATTTGCGAGTATGAAAGACACAGTGTTGTAAGAGTATGGATAACCTCAATTTTGTCAGATATTACCAAGTTGCTCTCCAAAGTGACTATTTCACATGTGTCAAACACAAGGCCCGCGGGCCAAATCCGTCCCACCAGGCCTTGCAATGTGGCCCGCACCGCACTGTCATCACTGCACTCCGCTGCATTTCCATCACAATGACAGTTTATGACTGTTCAGTAAACCATTCGGCCCGCGATTTAGGCTAGATTTTAGATTTTGGCCCCTTCTCTGATTGAGTTCGACACCCCTAATTTATATCCATAGCAACTGAGTATGAGAATTACCATTGCTCCACTTTCTCAACTATTCTTCACATTGACAAGCATACTTTAATTCTTGCCAATCTGTTGAGTATGAAATGATATTTCATTGTGAATTTAAGGATTTTGTCTTTATCTTATAGATTTGAAGTTTTTTTTATATATTTTAAAAATAAAACATTTGTTGATTATATATGTTACTAATATCTGTGGCTTGTCTTTTCACTTTATGGTGTCTTTTGCTATAAAGAAGTAACTGATTTCAATATAGTCAAATTGATTAGTTTTCCATTCTGGTTTGGACTTAAAAATCCTTACCCACTCCAAAATCATTAAGGTATTCTCTATATTTTCTGTAAAAGTTTAGACACTTAGTCTACCTAGAATTGATTTTTGTGAAAGAAGTCAGATAATGATACAGATGCAGAAAAAACATTCAACAAACTCAAACACCCATTTTTTGATTTAAAAAAAAAAACCTCTCTGCAAAGTGGTAATAGAGGGAGCATAACTCAACAAGGCCATATGACACGCTGACAGACAATATTATAGTCAATGGGCAAAAACTAAAAGCATTTCCCCTAAGAACAAGAATAAGACAGGATGTGCGCTTTCTCTCATTCAACATAGTACTGGAATTGCTAGCCATAGCTATCAGACAAGAAGTAAAAGGCATCCAAATTAGAAAGGAGGAAGTAAAATTCTTATTATAATATTTGCAAATGACATGATATTGTACACAAAATACCCTAAAGACTCATCAGCAACCTTTCAGTTTATAGGTATGGGTTGAAGCCCAACCAATAAAGCCACACCAGCCAGGGCTTTTTAAAAAATTGCCAGTGAGTTAAAAACAAACAAAAAATATAAATATCATTATTTGGTCCATTGCTTTGATTTGTACTAAGGCACCAAACCAGTATTTCTTCCATCAGAATACATGTCGGCACAGTGACAAAGACAAAGTTTTTATATTTTGTGAAAATGGTTTTGAAAATTCCCTGCAAAGATCTCTGAGATTCCTAGGGGCCCATGAACATACTTTGGAAATTGCTACTCTAATTTCAAGGGTACTTTCTAGAGTAGACTCAAAACTTAGAATGTGAATTCTCTAACTGTGAGATTCCGAAGGAACTGTGTAAATAGACTAACAGGAAGATAATTTCTAATTGAAAATCTAGAGGAACTTAAAAGGAAGGCCCACAAGACCAATATGACTAACTCAGTTCACAATAACCAAGACATAGAAACAACCTAAGTGTCTTTTGACTGATGGTTGGATAAAGATACCATGCATATATACAATGGAAAAAGGTGAAATATTGCCATCTGAGACATGAATGGACCTTGAGAGTATCATGTTAAACAAAATAAGACAGCAAAGGACAAGAACGTGATTTCACTCATATGTGAGATATAAAACAAAAAACAACTAATGAATAAACAAAACAGTCACAAACAACAGTTACCAGAGAAGGGGCAGGAGGAAGATGGTGAAGAGAGTAAAAGGGCAACAAAAGGAGACTAGACTTTGGGTGATGAGCACAAAATGGGATACACAGATGATGTATTGTATTATACAGTTGTACACCTGAAACCTATATAATGTTATTAACCAATGTTTCCCAACAAATGTAATTTTTAAAAAAGACTTCAGCTCAAAATGTCTCTAGACTTCAAACGTCTGTATTCTTGGCCATAGTTAACTAATTTTATATTTTTATTTATCTACTCAGCTAAGAAATCTTTGGACAGCAAACAGATGAAGAAAGGTCAAAAGAATATTCAGTATACCAATCTGGAACAAATCTAGACCAACCAGCTTCTTCCTACCTTAGAGCCACTCGATACTTCTGTCCCAATTTCTCAATTTCAGCCATTACACAGTCAGTTATACAAGGGATACCTGCCAGAAAAAAAAAAGCACAAAACACATATTAATAAAAGAACTTGTGAATAAACAGATTTTACTATCTCTGAATTATATCTTGCCAAGAATCTTAGGAAGAACCATGAGTTTGGTTGATGTGGCTCAGTGGCTGAGCATTGACTTATGAACCAGGAGATCACGCTTCAGTTCCCAGTTAGGGCACATGGCAGGATTGCGGATTCAATTCCTGGTCAGGACTCATACAAGAATCAACCAATGAAAACAAATAAGTGGAACATCTTTCTCTCTCCCTTTCCCTCTCTCTCTCTAAAACTCAATTAAAAAAATACTTCACTTTAACAGACATATTCACAAAGATATTCACTACAACCTTGTTTATAGCAGGGTAAAAACTAGAAGTACTGACATTCATGATATATTTTTTCAAAATCAAGGAGAAATGGATACAATAGAATCTATCCATACAATAGAATACTACTTGGTAATACAAAGAAATGATGAACATGCTTTAACATAGATGACTCTTGAAAATGTTATGCTAAATAAAAGAGAACCAAACATTTTATGACCCCATTTTTAAAAAAAATATATATATTTTATTGACTTTCTTACAGAGAGGAAGGGAGAGAGACAGAGAGCTAGAAACGTCGATGAGAGAGAAACATCGACCAGCTGCCTCTTGCACACCCCCCACCGGGGATGTGCCCGCAACCAATGTACATGCCCTTGGCTGGAATCGAACCCGGGACCTCTCAGTCCGCAGACGGATGCTCTACCACTGAGCCAAACCGGTTTCGGCTATGACCCCATTTTAATGAAATACCCACAATAGCCAAATCTACAGAGACAGAAAACAAATTGTGGTTGCCTAGGAATGGTGGGAAAGGGAAGAGTTTAGGGATGGTGGCTAAGGATCCACAGTTTTGTGGTTCTTTTTGGTTTTTAGAAATAAAAATGTGGGTTTCAAAAAAATGATTTTCAGAAAGAGAGGAAGGGAGAGGGAGGGAGAAACGTTGAGAGCAGAACACTGATTGGTCACCTGCCACACCCCTTTAATGGGATACAGCCCAAAACCTGGGCAGGTTCGCTGATCACCCTCTAACTGCCCTCCCCTGCTGGCCTGATCACCCCTAACTGCCTCTGCCTCGGCCCCCCACCCTGGCTTTGGCCGGTAGGAAGTTGGACATCCGGACGATGTCTGGTTGACCTATTGTAGTTTAATTCGCATATTACCCTTTTATTAGTTTAGATGGGTATAATATATGGTATGTGACGTATATCTCAAAACAGTTAAAAAAAAAAAGGCACAAACATTCATAGTAAGTAATGTATGATCCATTTTCATTTATAAAAGAAAAACTAACCTTCACCCTAAAGAGACTGTATATGAATTTTTAAAACCTATCCTCTGAGGTAAGGCATTATAGGGAACTTTCTTTTTCTTTTAATGCTTTATATTTTTTCAAGTACATTAATACTTTAGAAAGCAAAGAAATGTTAAAATAAAATATAATACTTAGAAGAAAAAGCAGTTGTAAAATAGAGGTATGAAGTCAGTAAGATCAGATCATCATGGAATCAGATGCCCTTAAGAGGATTAATTTCAGGGCCATGTAGCAGTGAAGCAAGCAAGGGCTTGCATCTGGATCACACAAGTAGGCCTAGAAAAAAATCACTATAAAGAAATGGAAATAGGAAAGAGGACTGATGGGCATAAAAGAAAGCTGATGGGAAGCTAACTATTCTTTCTTGTTGGAGTATCAGATGGAAATGGAATATGCCAGGAGATATGGAAAGGTCAAAGGGACATCTTCAAGGCAAGAAGAATATAAAGGACTTCCTTTAGGTATAAAGGCAAGTGAAGAAAAATTAGTAAGCAGAGTTTAGAACAGTTAATCTCCTAGATAAGTGAATATGCACTTTACTTAAAACTTAAACTTTACTTTAACTTACACAAAGACTGCAAAAAGTGATATTATTAACTTAAAAAGTTTGTTTTTAGAAAAGCCATTATAGCTGTCCTGCAGTGTTTCCCAAAGTGTGGTATGCGTACCCCCAGGGGTACGGGAAGAGTTTGGTGGGGGTACGCGTTGCACCGGAGTTTGGTGGGGATATGCACTGCACCGTGCTTAGCTGCGCCTAATTCTACGTTCTCATGAGTACCAGGGGTACTCAGTGTTACGAAAATTATAGAAGGGGTACACATATGTCAAAAGTTTGGGAAACACTGATCTAGATAATAATGGGGGAGCTATCGCATTAAGGAAACAATTCACCTCCAAGGGGCTGGGCTTGTACCCTTGATTCATCTCATTTACAAACAGGTCACAGCATTTGTGAGAAGCTGGAGAAGTAGCTGAGGCAATTCTAAGAAACACCATGGAAATACACCACGTTTAGTGTCTTTCTAGTTCACTCTTATAGCCATGTTAGTGCTCCAACTTGATTAATCTTTATTATTTCTAAGAGATTAAAAAAAAAATTAAAGTATTACTTACACATAGCTTTAAAAAGAAATACAGAAAAAAAGAGAAAGAAATATAGAAAGGCCTATATGAATGAATAACAATCCCCTGAAACTTTCCTACCCCATCAATTCTGATCCTTAAAAAGATAATTATTTTACTCTATTAGCTGTTTTCCTCATTTGGTGGTTACCTTCGTATATTAATATAATAAACTTATGCAGTCACTTAAAATTTATATATCTTATTGATTTCAAAATATATTTTTGATTTCAGAGAGGAAAGGAAAGAGAGAGAGAGAGAGAGAGAGAGAGAGAGAGAGAGAGAGAGAGAGAGAGAGAGAAGCAACAATGATGAGAGAGAATCATTGATCTGATGCCTCCTGCACACCCTGCACTGGGAATGGAGCCTGCAAAGAGGGCATGTGCCCTGACTGGGAATCGAACTGTGACCTTCTAATTCTTAGGTCGATGATCAACTACTGAGTCACCGTGGCCAGGCACACTTTTTAATTTTTATTTTTATTTAAAAAAATATATTTTATTGATTTTTTACAGAGGAAGGGAGAGGGATAGAGAGTCAGAAACATCGATGAGAAAGAAACATCGGATCAGCTGCCTCCTACACACTCCCTAATGGGGATGTGTCTGCAACCAAAGTACATGCCTTTGATAGAAATCGAACCTGGGACCCTTAAGTCTGCAGGCCAACGCTCTATCCACTAAGCCAAACTGGTTTCAGCTGGCACACTTAAAAAAAAAAAAAAATATATATATATATATATATACAATATAAATATATATATCAGGGAGAGGGAGAGATAGAAACATCAATGATGAAATGATGAGAGAGAATCATTATTCAGCTGCCTCCTACATGTTCCACACTGGGGATTGAGCCTGCAGCCTGGGCATGTACTCTTGACTGGAATCATACCCGGGACCCTTCAACCGCAGGCTGACATTCTATCCACTGAACCAAACCAGCTAAGGCCACACTTTTTAAAAATGTAAAAAGTTTCATTTTAGGCATTTAAGGAATTTAATTCTCTTATCTATCATATCCTTACACCACCTTGCTAGTTTTAATACATCAATAAACAACATTTACATTACTATCACTCTATAATGTTACTCATTATAGTATCTTTTAAATATTAAAGAAGTGCAATTGCCGAAGCCGGTTTGGCTCAGTGGTAGAGCGTCGGTCTGCAGACTGAAAGGTTCCAGGTTCGATTCCGGTCAAGGGCATGTACATTGGTTGCGGGCACATCCCTGGTAGGAGGTGTGCAAGTGGCAGCTGGTCGATGTTTCTCTCTCATCAACGTTTCTAGCTCTCTATCTTTCTCCCTTCCTCTTCTCTGTAAAATATCAATAAAATATATTTAAAAAAGTGCAATTTTTTCCTTTGATTCCAATAATTCATTCTTTATGGAAAAGCATAAGTCTACTTTTCACTTGTACCTTTAACCAGGTGACTAGAAAATATTATGAAAATAAACTCACCACAAAATGCAACAGATCTATTAGGAAGTTATTCCTTTTACATGGCCTAAATTTTCTTTTCCCATTCATGATAGTGAGGAAAGATCATTTGAAGGAGGGGACATCTAACTATACAAGGGACATTTATGAATGGTAAACTGTATATCTAGGTGTAAATAAACTACCCCAGATCTTTTGTGGTACAAATAAATACCAAACTAGGAAGCAGTGACCATCATCACTTCTGGTTCTGTGATTATAAATGACAAAATGTCTTATTTAGCTTTTCTATACTGGAATGAAATGAAGAATGCTTCCTCCTCAATGTAAAAGAATAAGAATATATATACTGATAAATATAATAATTTTTCATTTATCCAGAATTTAATTTAATTAATTAAATTTTTATTGATTTTAGAGAAAGCAAGGGAGAAAGGGAGGAAGAAAGGTAAGAAGGGAGAAAAGGAGGGGGGGAGAGAGAGAGAGAAACTGATGTGAGAGAGAAACATCCACTGGCTATCCCCATATATGCTCTGACTGGGTATCAAATCTGAAACCTGGGTATGTGCCCTGACCAGGAATCAAACCTGCCACCTTTTGGTGTACAGGATGATGCTTCAACCAACTCAGCCACACTGGCCAAGGCCTACTCATTTACCCAGAATTTTAAAACCTAGAAACAGGAAACAGAAAATTCCCCTACTATTTTCAAAGTTATTGTCCATAATAAGTATCTAAGCACAGTAAGTATTTTCTGAATTGTGAGAATTTAATTATTCCCAGTCAAATTTGCATTATACTTCAATTTAATAAAAATGGTCATTGCTATGGTGAGCATATTAAATGCCCAGCAATTAAGTTAACTAAAACCCCATTCCCTTCTTTTCAAGTATTTGGATAAATATGATTATTCTGTAAAAATGTCACAGAAATGTAAAAGTATGATACTCACACTTGGCATAGAGACAATCCATCATTGACTGCACTAAGTCCAGTTTGGCCTTAATGGAAAAGTTGATAAAGTTGGTATCAACCAGGATGTGGTAAGGTGGGCCTAGCTGTGTGTTATATTGAAAGAATAAGCAGGAGGGATGTTGGGGGCTGAAAGAGAAACAAACAAAACACAAAGTAATATCTACATTGATACTTTGATATGAACAAAAATAAGTCTCCAATTGGAACAGTTTGCTATAGATTAAGCTCTTTTTTTCTTTGTTCTTGGAAATAAATCCTGTGATGGTTTATCCATCACCACACTAGGGCAAAATGAGGAAAATAAGCAAAATGTGATGAGGTTTCATAAAATTAAATGTATTTATTTAAAAGAAATAACCTTTATTCTGAAAATATGGTCTTACTATTTTTTTTTGATGATACATTCTCTCTTTTAAGAAATGCCAGTGTGTTGAACAATGACCATTATTTCTTTTGAAAGATTCTTGGCAAAGAAAACAAATAATGATATTAGATTTAATCCCCAGGATTTCAGAGAAAAATTTACTGCTCCATGAAATAAAAACACATCTGAATCATTGGAGTTAGTATATGCTCATCAGTATCACTTTAATATGCATAGTTGTGCTAGACCTGGAAATAACTGAGCAAATCAGTTTGGGAAATCCTGGATTTCTAAGGGGTTTATGGTTTCAGAATGTTTGAAAGGAAAACTTGAAAATGTTGATTACTCACACTTCTCTTTCTTTGAGTGCACTGGGGTCTTTCTTTTCTTTCTTTTTAGGTTTTAATCTATCCTTTTCTTTTCTAGGGAAAAAAAGTAAATTAAGTGCAGGGAAGAAAAAACAATAGCAGTTACAATCTCATTCAAAATTTAAAGTTTCTTTTTGTCTTCAGAGAAAAGCTTACTCTGTGACTTCTTTACATTAGTATAAGCATACATTTAATAGATTTTTATTAAAAATTGATTTCAGAGAGGAAGGGAGAGGAAGAGAGAGATAGAAACATCAATGATGAGAGGGAATCATTGATTGGCTGCCTCCTACATGCTGGATGGAGCCTGCAACGCAGGCATGTGCCCTTGACTGGATTTGAATTTAGGATCCTTGGGTCTGCAGGCAGATGCTCTATCCAATGAGCCAAATTGGCTAGGGCTAAACATACATTTTTTACATTAATGTATATATATAATAATTAATGTAAAAATATATAAATTTTACATTAATGTATATATATGATATATATATATCACATATATATTTTAGCACAAATAACTGTGTGGGAAGTTAACATAATTAGTTAGACATAATTAATTTAATAATCTCTAGCCAAAAACCCATAAAACTTTTAATGGATAAATAAATGTTGGTTATACTATTATTTCTTCCTTAGAAGCTTTTTATCAAAGATCAAAATCCACTTTCAAGCAGAGGGTAAAAAGGCTGATGTTTATCTTCAGATGCTTCAACAGTAGGAACGGGGGAGGAACCCCCATTCCTTTTATAAAGGGTGAAAATGTAACCATACATATACAAAATTTAACTTTTAACTAGAAATAAAATATTAATGGGAAATTTCCTAAAAATTTTATAATAAATACACACTATAGGCAGAAAATACAATTTAATAACTCTGAAGGCTCTAATGACCACTCCTTTGTATTGAGGCTCTTAAACACTAATACCAGTCCTTATTTAGTAACTTTGTCCATTCTTCACTGAAGCAGTGAAGCTTTTTACGCCCTCCTTATAATAGGGAACATCATTTCACTCTCTCCTTCCACAGTCATCTGAATTCTTATGAAATTTATAAAAGACATCTAGGTGTTTCCCATTCTTTCTTTAAAAAAATATTTGAGCCCTGGCTAGTTTGGCTCAGTGGATAGAGCATCAGCCTGCGGACTCAAGGATCCCAGGTTTAATTCCTGTCAAGGGCATGTGCCTTGGTTGAGGGCACATCCCCAAGTGGGGGGTGTGCAGGAGGCAGCTGATCGATGTTTCTAACTCTCCCTTTCCCTCCCTCTCTGTAAGAAATCAATGAAATATATTAAAAAATAAACAAATAAATAAATATTTGAGTGTCAAGATCAATATCTGAGTGTCAAGACAAACATGATCTCTGACCTCATCCTCCTTCAATTTTTTCCCCTATGAAATGTAGTAGTCTAATGACATAAATATAATCTTACCCACTTCACAGACACATTAGGAGGGTAACATGTGATATAGTAGATAAAATATATGAAATGGTGGCACAAAGTGAACGCTTAGATGTTTAATTCCAGTTCCATTCACCAGGGTACTCCTTCAGCAGCTATCTGGCTGTTATACACTTGGCTCTCTCATGCTATAATATATGTACCCAATGATATATACACAATACACAATGCCATGAAAAGTGAATACAAAGTCACAACAAAAATTTTAACTACTTATCCCGTTGTGACTTCTCTATCTTTGGGCAGTCTATGAACCCAGTCGATTCCAGACACTTACAGTCTCTGATCTCTGAGACTAAGCATCCGCTTCATGGTCGCATACTTCCTTGTCTTCTTTTGCTTCCCCTTGAAACAGAAGTTGTAGGGTTAAGAGTCGGAAATACATCCTGATGTTCTTGAGTTCCTTCTTTTCTTTTGCCCATTTCCTTCCCCTCTTCCCTCAAAAACAAAACAAAACAAAACAAAACAAAACAAAACAAAACAAAACCCAGTTCCTCTGATGCTCTCTGCCCCAACCAGGCCCACTCCTACTCTCTTGACTCTAGTATCCGCAGGGTTTCCCAGAGTGTAGTACGCATACCTCCAGAGGTACGGGAAGAGTTTGGTGGGGGTATGCACTGCACCGTGCTTAGCTGCGCCTAATTCTACGTCCTCATGAGTACGAGGGGTACTCCCGAGTTACGAAAATTATAGAAGGGGTACACATATGTCAAAAGTTTGGGAAACACTGGACTCTAGAGCATGACGACAGGCACCACTTCGAGCAGTCTAAGAGCTAGGATTAGGATTCAAATAAGCAGGGGCATGAACATCGGCCAGGGGATGACTCCCTGAACCTCTCCGCTCAAATGTGGTCTGCCAATATCCCTCCCTCCTCCACCCTTCCCTCTCACCATGCTCACGCCGCCCTCTTGTTTCTTCCGGAATCACCGCCCGGCGCGACGCTTCTACGTCCTCCGTGTACTGCTTCCGGCGAAGGCTAGCCCGGAAGCGGAAGTCGCTTTGGAAAACGGAAAAGCCCGGAGCCGGTTCCCAGGCGGGGTGGAGATCTGTACTCTGATCGCTTGTTGGGAGGGGAGTCCGGGGCCGGTGTTCTGCCCGGGGCCGCGGAGCTGGGACGTCGCCGCGCTGCGCCCTCCAGCCCCGGTAACGTCCCTCTCCGCCGCCACGCCCGCGCGGGGCACGGCCAGGGGACCTGCCTGCACCGGCTTTCAAGGGGAGGGAGGACTGGGTGTGTGGGGTGGGGGCAGAGGGTCCTAGGGGGCGGAATTCTGGGTTGTCCAGTAGTTTTGGGAAACGCTCTCTCCTCCTCCTGCAGCGCCGGGCGTCTGGTGTCTGGTCTCAGTGGCGCAACAGCTCGGAAGCCCTGGTCCCTGCTCGCTTCTTTCTCCTGCCCGCGTGGTGCTTCCTGCAGCTAGTGAACGAGTGTCCAAGGGGTCTTCTTCCCGAGTGAAGGGACGCCTTTTGTTTCTCTCGGAGAAGGGCGGGATGGAGCCGCGTTTGAGGGTTGTTTTAGAACACGAGTTAGCAAGCCAGGGGAAGGGTGGGGAATGATTGAGATTTCTTGTGAAGCCTCGATGTGTCATTCTTAGTGGCGAAAGGGGCGTTTTAGACGACAAGAAGGGAAAGAGAACTCACGTTTTTAGTACCTGCTATGTATGTACTCCGGTGGCTTGTAGCCTTTTGGAGATCAAGCCCCCCCCCCCCCCCCCCCGAAAGTTTATGGAAAGCCAGGGACGATTCTTAAAAAAAAAAAAAAATGGGCGCACATACAGTATTTGTCCTACAATGTATGAGACTCGTGGTGTCCGTGAGCTTACTTCTTTCTGTCTTGTATACCGTACTTGGCACCTTAGTTATAATCTTTGACCTCCACAATAACTTAAGTATCGTCATTTTACAGAGGAGGAAGCTGAGGTTCTGACTTTATTCGCAGGGGGGGGGGGGGAGGGGGGGAGGTTTACTTGAGTCTGTTTGAATCCAAAGCCTGTACTTTTCTTATTGCAAAGCTATCTTTTTGAGATTCAAAAAGGTTTTCAGGTTAAAAAAAAGAAAAAAAAAAAGCCGACTCTTGCATGACCCTTACTATAATGTATTGGTTAACATAGTGTATTGGTTGCTATGAACTTTGGAGCCTGACTGATGTGGCTAAAATCCATTCTCTGCTTCTTACCAGCTACATGACATCGGGTGTGTTCATCTGTCTGTGCTTTAGTTTCTTCATTTGTATAAATGGAGATAATCATAATATTATGTGTCTTACAGGGTTTTATTAACACTAAATGTGTTAAAATGTGAAGTCCCTAGAACTGTGTGTCCATCACAAGTAAATCCTATTATTGTGATTGTGTCCTCCAACATAGACTATGTGGTGGTATTAGAATTTTATGTCAGCCCCCCCCCCCCCATGTATACAAACTCTAATAGCTGAAAAAGAAGTGTATTTTAATAGATACTGCCTTTATAATTATTCCAAGTGTGTGTATAAATATTTTTGCTCTATTTTGGAAATGTGTAAAGAACCTTAAGTTTTCAGTTCTTTTTTTTTTTTAATATATTTTATTGATTTTTCACAGAGAGGAAGAGAGAGGGATAGAGAGTTAGAAACATCGATGAGAGAGAATCATCGATCAGCTGCCTCTTGCACACCCCCTACTGGGGATGCGCCCACAACCAAGGTACATGCCCTTGACCGGAATCGAACCTGGGACCTTTCAGTCCGCAGGCCGATGCTCTATCCACTGAGCCAAACCGGTCCCGGCCAAGTTTTCAATTCTTAAAAAGCTCAAAGAGAGGATGATTTCTCATGTTGATTTGAGTATAGACAGTTTTGTCCTGCTTCTTTCTTTTTATTTATTTATTTATTTATTTATTTATTTATTATTTCTATTTATTTATTTACTTTTTAAACATGCATGCACTTAGATAGCTTGCAGTTCACATATATGATTTTGTAGGTTCTGAATTTTTTTATGTTGAAGTAGTTTTATTATTAAAGTATCTACAGATACTGTATGTGCCTCCTGCTATCACTGGAAATTCCTAATCTTTTCAGAACAGCTTGTCTGTCAGTCAAACTGTCATTCATGGGTAGAGCTGACAGTGACCACTTTTTTGATAAGTTAGAACTTTTTGGTTGTTAGGCAATACATTTTTTAGTAAACATGATTAGTTGTTTGTTTTTTAAAAACATCTGGAGACTGATTAGTATACATAGGTTTAGAGGGAAAATTGCATATAATTAAATAGTAATTTGTATTTAAATTCGGGCACTTGAAAAACTAGAAACACTTTCCTGGTAATATGTACTCTGAACTTTGGAATCCATGAACAATAACAAATTGGGGGGGAAAAAAATCCAAGCAGCTTATCGTATCTATTCTGAGAATTTTCTGATTTCCTTGATTGTTAATACTTAACTAGTATTACTGTAGGAACACCCTGGGGGGATGAGAACATACTTAGAGAAATAGGTTTTGCATTGTAACTTTATTGAAATCTGAGATTCTTTTTTTAAAAAAATGTTATTGATTTCAGGAAAACGTGAGAGAGAGTGATAGAAATATCAATGATGAGAGAGAATCATTGATTGGTTGCCTCCTCAATCCCACTGGGTATTGAGCCCCAAACCCAGACATGCACCCTGACCTGGAATCAAACCATGATCTCCTGGTTCATAGGTAGATGTTCAACCACTGAGCCACACCAACCGGGCATAATCTGAGGTTTGTTGTTTTTTTTTAAAGAACTTTTAAGTCCAGTTGCACTTAAAAAAATAAATAAATAAAAAAATATATTTTTTATTGATTTCAGAGAGGAAGAGAGAGGGAGAGAGAGATAGAAACATCCATGATGAGAGAATCATTGACTGGCTGCCTCCTTCATGCCCCACACTGGGGATCGAGCCTGCAACCTGGGCATATGCCCTGACCGGGAATCAAACTAGTGACCTCTTGGTTCCTGGGTTGATGCTCAACTGCTGAGCCACACCTGGCTGGGCCACAATCTGAGATTCTTATGGGGTCAGATTAAAGTACTCAAATATAGGAAGTTTTGGTGGGAGATGGGGGAGAGGGGAAGTGCTGTTGCTTTGTGTTGAGTGGGAGCAGAAAGTAATTAGTTTTCATTGCATACTTGTGAAAAATAAGTGAGTTTAGCCCTCCTCAGCAGTCAAAAAGGTTGGTTTTTAGTTTTCTGCAATCTTGAAGAGAAAAATTGTTCAAGGCATTCATTCCACAGTTTAAAGTCATTATTGGGCTTAGACTTCATCCCCTTCATTAATTGGTCTAACTTACTAATTTAAGTTGATAACAGATTTCTTTATAAAATTATGATGGCTGATTTGAGTCAGTGTTTAGAGCATGAGCCTAGGACCCAAGGGTCATAGGTTCCTCAGGCCCGGTAGGGGTTCATGTGGGAGGCAACCAGTTTATGTAAGTCTCTCTCAGGTTGATGTCCCCCTCCCTCCCCTCCCCCGTAGGTAGTGTTTTGCACCCTTTCATTCCCATAGCACTATTAAGCTAGTGGAAGCGTTGGCTTTGCTCCCAGGAGGGTGGTGTTATCTGAGAAACTAAGAGCTGATCCTGATTGCAGGGCCCTTCCTGGGCTTCCCTAACACGGTGTCCTCAGTGTGCTCACCTCATAGGTTGTACTGCATGGACCTGTCACATCGTTTTCTTGTCTGTCTGCCTTACAGACCTGTATGTTTTTAGGAGGTCAGAGACCATGGAACTCTCATGGTCAACATATTGCTTGGCATGTGATTCTTAATACACATTTGAAGAAATTAACAGCCGAAACCAGTTTGGCTCAGTGGATAGAGCGTCAGTCTGCGGACTGAAGGATCCCAGGTTCGATTCCGGCCAAGGGCACATGCCTTGGTTGCGGGCATGTCCCCAGAGGGGGGCGTGCAGGAGGCAGCTGATCGATGTTTCTAACTCTCTATCCCTCTCCCTCCTCTCTGTTAAAAAAAAAAATTATATATATATAAATTATATATATATAAATTATATATATATAAATTAACAAATCTTTGTTTGGTAACATTGATTATTAGGCCGACAGAAGTTTTGTCTTGAATACCTTAAGTGTTGAATTTCTTCTTTTTTCTTTTTTTTAAATATATTTTTATTGATTTCAGAGAGGAAGGGAGAGGGAGAGAGAGAAACATCAATGATGAGAGAGAATCCCTGATTGACATGCCCCTCACCCCCCCAGAGATTGAGCCCACAACCTGGACATGTGCCTTGCCTGGTAATCGAACAATGAACTCTGGGTTCATAGGTTAACTGCTGAGCCACACCTGTCAGGCTTGAGTTTCTTCTTTAAATCAAGCCTTCTTAGGTTGCCCTTTCTGTGGTGAGTTGTTTGTCTTTCTGGAGTCTTAACTGAAAAATGCTCTTTTTTTTTTTTCTTCCTTCTGATTATATAAATAATTTGTTTTCCTTAAAAATAAGAGTAGAGCCCTAGCTGGTTTGACTCAGTGGACAGAGCGTTGGCCTGTGGACTGAGGTGTCCCAGGTTCAATACCGTCAAGGGCACATGCCTGGCTTGCAGGCTCGATCCCTAGTAGGAGGCATGCAGGAAGGAGGCAGCCATCAACGATTCTCTCTTTTCATTGATGTTTCTCTCCCTCTCCCTCTCCCTGTCCCAGTCCCTGTTCCTCTCCCTGTCCCTCTCCCTCTTCCTCTCCCTCTCCCTCTCCCTCTCCCTGTCCCTCTCCCTCTCCCTCTCCCTCTCCCTCTCTCTGTCCCTCTTCCTCTCCCCTCCTCTCTGAAATCAATAAAAATAAAAATATTTTTTTAAAAAAGAATAGAATTGAAAGTAATGGATGGTGGTAGAGGTTTTGTTAGCTTTTAAGTATTTGTGTGACAATTCCAGTTCCACTACTCTGGGCTGTAGATCTGGCCATTCGCCTGCCACTTCATGCACAGTTAATGAAATAACTTCCTAGACTTATTGAGGTAGATGACTTGTCAGATTCAGAGAACTGGTTTAAAAATTTTCCTGTTATAGCAAAGACTCAGTGG